AATCAGTTGTTTAAATTTATGTTTTTGTGTGAAATCGACTGGTTGAAATTTGTTCTTTAAAGTAATGTTAAACATAACATTTAAAGTAACATTAAGATGTCTGTTTCCTCTTTAGGAGCTCAAACTATAATGTGATCAACTGGATAATTTGGTGACATTTCTTTTTTGCTTTCTCGCATCATATTGTAACTTTTCAACATGAAAGGAAGAAATCATCTTCAAAAAGTAAAAATATATATATATTTTCACTGAAGTTTAAAACTGAACAGTTCCTCTGAGAAGTCCTACAAGTTAAAAAGCAGACTTTGAACTATCAAGCGTTTTATGTGCCACACACACTTGGGCAGTTAAAGCTAGGTCATTTATTCTGTAGCGAGAGACCAAAAGGTCACGCAGGTGCTTTGTCGAATGTGTGTCGATAATGAGTCTACAAAGGACCAATTACGTATCCCCCCGCCTTTGCATCCATCTCTTTTGTCACTCTGTAATTATCTAATTTGGCTGTGACCTTTCATGAGAAACAGACGTAAAGCAGAGAAACATCCAGGGCTCGTTGCTGAGAGAAAGAAAACACTGCAGAGGAACTTTAGTGTCAAGTTGTGTTACCATGCAATAAGCATCAGTTTGTAGACTGATGTTTCAGATTCCTAAAGAAAAAATGGGACTCCATGACGTTCATAGTGTGGGCAGGAACTCCACCTGTAATACCAGTGAGCTGCAGCTTCCTCCGTCCAACAAGATGAAAGTTCAAGCAGCGCCGACACGGCAGCTCTGCAGCCAATTGCTCATCAAAGGATTTATTTAAATTCAATTCAGTTTATTTATAAAGCGCCAAACAACAGCAGAAGTCAGCTCAGGGCACTGAACAGAAACATTCATATATAAAAAATAAGTTCACACTATTTATCTGAGGAGCAGACTGCTTTGAGTTTAACTCCATCACAGAACTCTCATCTTGAGCAAGCATGAAGGCGACAGTGGAAAGGAAAAACTCCCTCACGAGGAAGAAACCTTTAACAGAACCAGGCTCAGGACAAGCGTCCATCTGCTTCGACCGGCTGGGTTTGAGAGGAACAGATACACAATGGCAGGTCAATAATCCCATGTTAAAATAGAAATAGTATCAAATGATTGGAATTCCATAAAACTCAACTACTTTAGTGCTAAAATCCACAAGTTTTAACAAAACTAACAAATTGAAAGGAAATTTAGTCAGAAAAATCACAATTAGATCAGAGAGGTGGAATAAATTGTGAACATTTGTGTCTTTTATGGACAAAAAAAAAATTAAGGAACACCATGTGCAACATATCAAATCCAGAATAATTAAGATTAAACGTATAATTATCAGGATTGAACCCTGCTTGTTTTCTACATGTTTTATCTGTTTGTAGCTAAAACACAAACCCACACACACACATTTTAAGAAATTAACATTTTATTTTTGTAACAAAAAGCAACAACCACCACACACTTTTTCACCAAAAGTTAAGTTTTTGACTTTCAGTGATCTTGTTTGCACAAAACTGCCTAAAAACTTGTGGATTACAGCCACTTGAAAGTTTTACTCTATTTCAGTGACTTTTTTATGAAAATGCTTCTTTCATCTGAATTTCTGCACCTGGACTTCATGATATACATCAATCAGGAATAAATTACATTTGAAACACATTTCTATAAAATGGTGTGTACATACAGAACTGTTTGAATGACAGTAAATGCAAGTTACCCTTAAACGGTTGCTGCAGGGAATAAAAAGTTCATCTTTAATGTGTCTCTTTCTAAAATGTTATAAGGCAAGAAGGCTCTGAAAATATTTCAATTATTGACCAAAGCAAACAACAATCAGGTCTCTCTTGTAAATGAGTCTCCGAGGCTCAATGGGATTAACTGGTCTAAATAAAGGTTGAATGAATGAAGAAAAAAAATTGCTTAAAAAAGGCCAACATATAAAATAGCAAACAAGGATATTCCTTAGGTAACTTTGACTAATTGGCTTTATTAATGTATTTGAATGCTTTGTACAATACCATAAAACAACATGTGTTATGGATTGGCACCATATAAATCAACTGAATTGATATAAACTGATCGAGTGCTTTGACAAAAACAAACTACTGTATATCAATTATTGCATTTAAAGTCGAACCGTTTTGGTGATTTTTAGCAGACATACTTAGAAGCTATAAACAGGAAATAAGTCTTCTTCCTTTTTTTTACTGGCTGTCAAATGTAAAATAATAATCGAAACAAACCGTTCAACTTTGTTGACACTGAGAACATCTCAGAAGAAGTGTGTGTTATTTAGATGACAGCTGAGGACACAGGGTCATCGCTGCTGCTCCATCAGAATATTTTAGCATCTCAACTGGATGTAAAAAAAAAAAAAAAAACTTGCTTGACATACTATGGTGACTGACTGATGCCTGAATATAAAGTTTACATTGTGGTTGCTCTGGTTTTTGTCGGGCTGTGTGTTGGGCCCCCCATCAGTATGTTATTGTCAGACCCCAGAGGCATAGTGGGCCTTAATCCTCATGTCTAAACAGACGGTCCATGCATGTGTTTCTGGTCCTCTTCAAATGCCTGACAGAGTAACAGAGGAGTAATGGTATAACATAATGCTGCAAGTGGGAGAAAAAAATAAAATAAAGCCTAATTTTTTTTATTTTTTTTTTTATCTAAAATTATCTTTGCTGCTGCTATGGCTCATTATGATGCAGCAACTGGGGCTGCAGGTATAACAGGTCTTTGTAACTACCTTTATTACATGTTTGAATTATTTTCATATCTCAAATAAAACTTATGACTAGTAATATTAGTATTATTATTAATATTGTAAACATCTGAAAGACAAGTTTCTTCTACAGATGATTCTATTTTAGATACCCACAATGTTCATTCTAGATAAGAAGAATACAATTATAGATATCTGGAGCCAGAAGTCTTGCACCAACAGAGGTGTCGTATGTCCAAGGAGGAACGGTATTTGAAAACTTTGAAACAGTGATTGAAAAAAAAACATGCCTTCTAGATATTTTTATTTGAATTATGGACACACTTTCAAAACTAACTGTTATTTGAATAAATCAGCTCATCATATGTGGATGTTTGCTGTCCTCTCTTGGTGAGTCTCTGTAAAAACAATCAGAGCTGATTTTAATCACATGCAGATAGTGAAGAACTAGTTTGACAGTATAAATATACAAAAATACAGTTTTTGGTAAACATAAACTCTGCTGTGTTTGTTGACAGGCTCATATTGACAATGAGGCTTTCTCTCTTTTTGATGTTGTTGTTTCCATTAAAAGCCAGTAGGTGGCAGCAAAGCTCAGCCTGCACCTGCATGTTTCAAAAGGTTTATTCATATCTAACGGATTCACAGCGTTGAATTACTTTCTCAGCATGTTATTGAATTCTGTAAAAGCTGCTAAAGACCCATTCATTTGAATCAGATCTTCTGAAGCAGGAAACATAAACCATGCAGGACAGTGGCCCCCGAGATCTGTTCCAAAAAGCATTCTGTTTGTCCCTGAATGATCCACCAACCATTATCTTGAATACCTATTTACATATGTTAGCATTTATTTTTATTTTTTTTCAAATGCGAAAAAAGTTGCATGTTTACACTGAAAATGCTGTGCTTGTTAAATCCCCTATAAATTAAATTCAACATCACGCACATAAATGCCGGAAAAATCTGTGCAGGGGCGGAGACAGAGAGGTGCCACCCCAGTTGATTGACAAGTCACTGCATGTCACATTGAAAGAAGTGCGATTAGAGTAAATAAGAACTGTCAGTGTTACTGAAAATTGCAGTTGTTGTGAGCTCAATGGCAGAAACACTGATTTCACAAAAGCAGCATCGTGTAAACACGACCTAAATCTTATAGAGCCAATGTAACCATCAAACATTTACACCCATAAAGTCAAACAAATTTCACCTTTCCTGAATTATTCACTGAGCTTTCACTTAATCCTTTGAGTACGTTCACAGCAAGGTTCTGACTGATGCAGCATAAAAAGGCAGTGAAATGAAAAAATATATAATAAATAGATAATTGAAATGCAGCCATGAAATAAAAATGTATATTTAACTTATAGTGATATAATCTGTGAAAGTTGTTTATTATTATTGTCATAATTATTACATTATTTTATCCGTCCATCCATCCATTATTTTTACCTTCTCCTTCCTTTACGGGTTGTAGGGCTCACTGGTGGCCATATCCAGGAGTCACTGTGTGAGAGGCGGGGGACACCCTGGGCAGGTCTCCAGTCCATCACAGGGACACAGAGACAAATGTAGAAATATGATTAAAATACTGGATTTGTCAATTATGAATTTATTTTGAAGGGGCACCACCTCTCACTCATACATTCATATAGTGAATGGTTGTTTGCCTCGTTTGTCTATGTGACCCTGATGGACTTGCAACCTGTCCCCCGCCTCTCACAGTGATGGCCGGATATGGGTGTCAGTGACCACCAGGACCTGAAAAGGATGAAGCGGGTAAAGATGATGGATGGATAGATGGATGGATGGATGGATGGATGGATGGATGGTTGGATGGAT